CAGAAAGGGCAGGGAGATACAGTCACTGAGATACCAGATACCCTAAACTCTCATCAGCCCAGAGATGGCACCAGAGGAATCTCTGAGACATCCTTACTAAAATTCTTATCTTCTATTAGTTTCCTCCATATATTTACTTCTCTATAGTCTGTCACCCCTAAAAGTCTAGCCCCCCTTCCTTTGTTACTTCTTTACAAATTTATTGTTCTTTGTTAATATGCTATAGAAGCCCAAAGTCCTAAGTATCCCTTGATTTTCTCCTGAGATGTAGTGAATAAACTCTTGTTCTTTTGTTATCTGTTTGTGTTGTTYGAGATGGGGTCTCACTGTGTTGCCCAGGCTGGCCTGTAACACTTGATCCTCGATCACAGGTGTGTGCCACCACACCCGACCAAATTTTTTAAATATACATTAAAGTGTAGGCACTATGTTGTATAGTAGATCTCTAGGACTTATTTCATCTCGAATAACTAAAACTTTGTGTTAATACCTCTTCAAATTAGATTTTTTTTATTTTGAGTGGAGTCTTTCTATGTTACCCTAGCTGGTCTTGAATTCCAGCCTCAGCCTCCAGAATAGCTGAGACTACAAGATGGTGTAACCATGCCCAACTCAAATTAGAATTCTCTGTGTGTTTTTTTTCTAAATATTTTTTTAGTTGTAGATGGGCACAATATCTTTGTTTTATTTATTTATTTATATGTGGTGCTGAGGATCAAATCCAGTGCCTCAAGCATGTGAGGCAAGCACTTAACCACTGAGCTACAACCCCAGCCCAAATTAGAATTCTTTCAGGAAAGTACTATCTAAGCTTTGTCCTTGAAAATGGTAGTTTTACCTTATATAGGGTAACTAGGCATTATGGGCTAGGCCATTAGAGTCTTTCTTTTATATATAATTGGAGAAGTATTAAAGTTATATTTCCATTCAAAGAACTACTTTTTAAAAAAAAAATGTACGTACTGATTCTGTAGAGGCCAAGAAATAAACTGTTGTAAACACAAGTTCTTGGAAATATGAATTAACAACAGAGCAAGGGCTTCTTAAAGCAGACAGAGCTGATAAGTAAGATGCATGGAATTGTAGTGTCTACAAGGAATTTCAATTTCTAAAGCTTTGGGACTGCCAGGGTATTTAGTCTGCTGTGCAAAGTGATGGGGGAATTCATGTTCCACCCAGAGTTAGCAGTGTAAGAGCTACAACTTTAATGAGTTTTTTATGTTTCAAGTTATTTATTTGTGGTTGGTCACATTTTTAGATGAATCAATTCACTCATCCAATTTGTACTTGTTTAGAACCCAGGAAATAAGTGAGCATGGCCTGTTTGGCTAAAACATACATAAAGCGAGATTCTCCCAGTGTTATGCCCTGAACTATATACCTGTACTTATGCAGGATTATAGCTACAGACCTCACATCATCATTTCATGCTTCATACCCTTGCTAAAGATATCTTTATCTCTCTCTCTCTCTCTCTCTCTCTTTTTTTTTTTTTTTTTTGTACCAGGGATTGAACTCAGGGGTACTTAACCACTGAGCCACATCCCCAGCCCTATTTTGTATTTTTTTAGAGACAGGGTCTCACTGAGTTGCTTAGTGCCTCGCAGTTCGCTGAGGCTGGCTTTGAACTCATGATTCTCCTGTCTCAGCCTTCTGAACTGCTGGGATTATAGGTGTGTGCCACCATGCCTGGCCACTTATCTTTATGAATGAGAGAACTGAGGCTCAAAGAGGTTAAGGAGCTTACTCAAAGGTCACTTAGCAAATAAGTTGTACAATCAGGTTTGAATCTAGGGAGAGTCCTAATAGCAAATTTGGACTTTAATGTATGGATATTTCATAATTTCATAGATCAATATAGTCTTTTTATTTTACTTGTTAATTCCCTCCCTTGTCTCCAGGTACTGGGGATTGAACCTCGGAGGGCTCTACTACTGAGCTACATCTCCAGAACTTTTCATTTTTTAACTTCAAGGCAGGGTATTGCTAAGCTGCTGAGTCTGGTCTCAAACGTGAGATTCTCTTGCCTTAGCCTACCATGTCACTAGGATTACAGATGCACCATTACACCTGGCTCCTTTTAGGTTTTGAACTGGGGAATGCTTAGATGAAAATGAACAGAAGGAAGAACTGTCTGGTGGCATTATATAGGACCACAGAGGTAGGAAAAAGCTGGTGTGCAAAGAGAGGTGGTAGAAAGGTTTTTTCAAAATATATTTTTTAGTTGTTGTTGGGCCTTTACTTCATTCATTTATTTATATGCAGTGCTGAGAATCGAACCCAGTGCCTCACATGTGAGGTAAGTGCTTTACCACTGACCCACAACCCCAGCTGGTAGGTTTTGATTGCAGACAATGCACTGGAGACAGAGTGACTAATGTGGAACTAGAAGACCTGTTCTTTTTTGGTACCAGGGATTGAACCAAGGGGCACTTAACCACTGAGCCACATCTTAAGCCCTTTTTAAATTTTATATTTTGAAAGAGGATCTTGCTAAATTGCTTAGGGCCTTGCTAAATTGCTGAGGTTGACCTTGAATTTGCAATCTTCCTGCCTTAGCCTCTGACCTCAAACTTTCAATCCTTCTTTTCAGTCTCCTCAGGTGCTGGGATTATAGGCATTTGCCACCTCACATGGCAAGAATGCTTTCTAAACAAGATTATATTGAGACAAATCAAACATTTCTGCATCTTTCTGTATTCTTTGTTTAAGAAAATGATTAGGGTATTGCTGTCGCTGCAGGGGTACATGTTAAAATCCAACAAGAATATTACTTTTGGGACTGGGTTGTGGCTCTGTGGTAGAGCACTTCCTAGCATGTGTGAGGCACTGGGTTCAATCCTCAGCACCACATAAAATAAAAGTATTGTGTTCATCTACAACTAAAAAAAATTTTAAAAAGAACAATACTTTTGAAACAAGTGAAATGATTTAAACCCATTTCTGTAAGACATTTTATGAAAATATACTTAGGAGGCATAAATTGCACTGTCATCAAATTAATTTGTTTCCTAAGCTCAAATTTAATTTAAAATGAGATATTTCTTCAACTACTTCAATCCACCTACTGTCAAGGGATTTTTGGATAGAAAACACAGGAAATTAATACAGTAATGTTTGAGCAAATAACCAGCACAGTTCTGTCTTCTGTTGCTTGTGATGCTTCTAAAGAGTATTTTTAACAACTTCCYGATGAAATGGCTATAGCTAGTGTGAAGCCAGCCTCATCTCTGGATGACACCTGCAAATTTTTCTCCATCCCCATGTCCTAAAACAAACCCATTAACAAACTCTGCTAAATCCTTGGTCTGCATTTCTTTTGACTGACCTTTCCATTTTTCCATCCCTGGGTTGCTGAAATGGCCTTCTCTTCAGACTCACCSACAGGGCAAAGGCCTCTTCCCGAAATAAAGCTTTCATCAAGCTATTTCTGTTATTAAAATTGAGGGGATCCCTTGCTTACAGGATGAAGTCTTAATACTGCAGCTGAGCTCCCCATTGTTTCAGCCAGGCAAATTCATTCGCTTTCTTTAGACTTGACTCCTCCACCTACTGAGATTCTGCTACTTGGAATYCTTTGGTGTTTCTTTCTGCCAATTCAGGGTCATCATCTCCTTCTATTCGGAGTTGAGATTCACTTCTTTGAGTATGTTTTCCTTGTTTAGAAGCTATTTAGCAGATGAAAAAAAAACCCTCTTGTTTTCTAGCTTTTAATCACGTTAAGTGCTTTTAAGATAAATCATCCAGGTCTAGGGATAAATAACTTACAGAGATTTCCATTCTTCAAGAACCACACAGAGCGATTTTACTTTGTCAGAAACAGCACTCCAAATTTTAGGCGGCTGCCTTTTCACTAGGAATCTACACGAGAACCAGAGCAAAATGATTCTTTCTGGTGACCTCTAGTGGGCAAGGGACAATCCTACAAATTGTGAAAAGTGGAGGGCAAAGTAAAACCCTTCCCTGTAACCAGAAGGGTTACTCTACGGTCAGCTGATCGCATCCTTCCCCACCCTTATTTTTTTCTTTCAGCACGTTTTGCATCTAACATAATTTGCCCTACGACTCACCTGTTTCGCCTTCCGCAGGTTGGGCTGCCGGTGTCAGATGTCGAGTGAATTGCTGGTAGCGGTTCAAAATAATCCCTACTAAGTAAAACCCATTCCCTGGGCATCCAGCAGAGCTTGGGGTTGTTCGCTCAGCGGAGCCTTAAGGGGCTCTTCAAGCTCCGGTGCTGCAGCCGGATCCGGGGTGCACGGGGGAAATCAAGACATTATGGAAAGAATGCCGACGAAGGCAACGAGAAATTCTGTTTTTGCCAGGGAATCCTCCCCAGACTTTCACCCCACTCTATGAGAGACTTCACGAGAGGGTCCAGGCGCGCTACACGTTGGTGCCTTCCCAGGACAGGTGCAGGGGAGAGCGGAGGCCGGGGCCACTCGGCGGGCGGCATCGCGCGGGGGCTGGGATGTGCGGCCGCCTTCGAGCACACGGCACGTGGGTAGCCCTGCGCGGGGAGAGGAAGCGCAAAGTCTGCAGGAAAAGCATCGGCTGGTGTGCGTTCTCTGAGGAATCCTTTTGGGGCGGTCTCAGAAGCTGGGACAATTTCTGGAAAGAGCTCTGGCCAAACGCCATCTGTCCCTTCTCTTCAGACCCTGCACCCCAGACCTCACCTCTGCACCCCTCCTTACCCTCCTGTCTCCTCCTTTCAGGGGTTGTTAAATGAGGCCCTTGGGAGATGCCCAAGTCATCCCGATGGCCAGGGATGTGGCAGCAGGCAACCTGGCCACTGGGCTTGGCTTGGCTCCCCCTACACCAGGGACTCCCGGCTCCTGGCATCCCCGCCCTGCGGACCCCTCCTGGCCGTGGCAGGCGGGAGTGCAGCAGGGAGCCAGCGTCACGAGGCTGGGAGCCCGAGGTCCAGGGCGGGGCACCGGGGAATCCCAGCCCGAGCGCGCCCGGGAGGTGCGGGCGGACGCGGGCGGGCAGAGGAAGGCGGCGCGCGGAGGGAGGTGAGCGGCGCGGAGCCGGCAGGCAAGGAGGAGGCCGGCGAGGGAGGCCCCGCCCCCGCCTCTCAGAGCCGGCTTCTCGCCGCCGCCGAACCCSCTCACTTTGCCTCTCGCCTCTGGACGGCTGCGGGGCAGCTGCCCGAGCTGCGGCGGGCGGGAGCGCCTCCCGGGACCTGGAGTCTTCCGCACGGCGCCTCCCCTCGGCGCCCGCGCCCCTCAGGGAGGACGGCGCCGCCGCCTTGGAGAGGGCACCCCGGCATCGCAGGGGGCATCCCCCGGCGCGAGGGGCGGCGGCGCCAACACAGACTCGTTCCCAGCCAGTGGGGCGCAGCGCTGGCGCCGGAGGGGACTCCCCGGCCACCCGCAGGTACTGCCGCGCGGAAGGCGCGCTGCTAGCAGCGACGCTGGGCTGCCGAGGAGGCTAAAGCCGAGGGGCCCCGGGCCGGTGCGGGGCAGAGAGGAACCCCGAGGGAGAGCGGGCCCCGACGGCGCTCTCCCCGGTCTGCCAGAGGCAGGCAGGCCCCACGCGGCGGCCGGGCGACCCTTGAGCTGAGGGTCCCCAGGGCAGCCAGCCATGACCTTCGGGCGCAGCGGGGCGGCCTCGGTGGTGCTGAACGTGGGCGGCGCCCGGTACTCGCTGTCTCGGGAGCTGCTCAARGACTTCCCGCTACGCCGGGTGAGCCGGCTGCACGGCTGTCGCTCGGAACGCGACGTGCTCGAGGTGTGCGACGACTACGACCGTGAGCGCAACGAGTACTTTTTCGACCGGCACTCGGAGGCCTTCGGCTTCATCCTGCTCTACGTGCGCGGCCACGGCAAGCTGCGCTTCGCGCCGCGGATGTGCGAGCTCTCCTTCTACAATGAGATGATCTACTGGGGCCTGGAGGGCGCGCACCTCGAGTACTGCTGCCAGCGCCGCCTCGACGACCGCATGTCCGACACCTACACCTTCTACTCTGCGGAAGAACCGGGCGCGCTGGGCCGCGACGAGGTGCGACCCGGCGGGGCCGAGGCGGCTCCCTCCAGGCGCTGGCTGGAGCGCATGCGGAGGACTTTTGAGGAGCCCACGTCGTCGCTGGCCGCTCAGATCCTGGCCAGCGTGTCCGTGGTGTTCGTGATTGTGTCCATGGTGGTGCTGTGCGCCAGCACGCTGCCCGACTGGCGCGCAGCAGCCGCTGACAACCGCAGCCTGGATGACCGGAGCAGGTACTCCGCCGTCCCTGGGAGGGAGCCCTCCGGGTAGGACGCACTGCTTCTCTGCACGTCCGTCCTGTAGCGTCTGTCCGTCCCGTCCGTCCGTCGCGTCTCCGTCCTGTCTGCCTGATGAACCAGGCAGGGTTCAGGGCCCAGGGAGGCCCCCCGCGCGCCAACTAAGGGAAGGGTTGGGCCCCGTCGTCACCCCTGTTTTCTGGGCACTGACCAGATCTGATACCTCTGCTAGAGACTCAGCTTGAGGGCGAGATCCCCAGGCCTGGATAGGGGCAGACGGAGATACTCAAACCTCTTRTCTTTGTAGTTTACTTCTGAGCAGATAGAGACCTGCTAATTAATTTTCTCTAAACTTTTGTTGCTATTATGCAGTCATTTAACCSTGAGCATTTAATAGCAGTTTCAAATATTTGCCAATTTTTGGTGGTGTTTGAAAAGATGAAATCTTGTTCTGGCGAAATGTGGTCTGCTGTGCTCTGCCCACACATGCTATACACCCTGCCCCCGGCGTAATGTGTGCTGTAATGGAATTGCCATATGATAAAGGAGGCTAATTTAACGACAGACTCTAAATAATGGATGTCTGTGCCCTTTTCTGCCTTCTTTCCCTACCAGGGATGAAGTTAGTGAAGCTCCTGTCTATCTGGTACCAAAGAAACACACTGTGACTTTCAGAGGGTCTTCAGTAATGAGGAGGGAAAGAACCCTTGCCTCTGGAGAAGAGAAAAACCCAAACAGCCTAAAACCCAGAAACAGTATCTGAGTAGTTTGTTTTGTTCTTTCCACTTTACTAGATGAAAGGAGAATATTTTAATCTGATTCCTAAGATGAGGCTTACCTCTTAATGGTGATAACACTTTTCTGTTTTTAGTACAAGTGAGTTTATTTTGCATATTTAGTGGGAGGAATAAGCATACTAAAGTTGGACTTTCAAGGGAGACAGCCATTTTGGGCACAAAAATCAAGTTGTATATTCTGTTTTACCTTTGTTTGGTAACCCTTTTAAGATTCTCCCTTCATTCACTTTTGTATTTTATTTTATTTTTCCTAGTYACTTTTTAAATTCAAGTTTGCACCYTGTGATCTTTTTTTCCTGATAGGCCCGTGGATGTTAGGAATGGTGCTATGCTTCTTGATTTTGTAGTGGATTAAGTTCACATAATATTCTTCCTGGGGGAAGCAAAGATTTCTCCATAAATCTAAGTAAATAAAATTGTCTAGTATTATGGAGTCTATTACTGATATGTCATCTTGGCATGAAATCCAAGATACACGCTTTGAAAATAAATAAATTAGGAAACTTACTTTGTTTATTTTATTAGGTTCTAACTGTTTTCAATTTTCAGATAAGAATTACTTGGTACTCCAACAGAACAATAAAAGTAGTTTATATATCTAAATACATAAGAGCCCTTGATTTAGACTCCCCCCCACCAAAGAGGGTTGCAGGAAAATGAACCATAAATGGCCAGCCTTGAAATGATTCACTAGTAACTAGAATTCTAAGATCAGTGAAGACTTGAGCTGTATTAGCAAAGGAAACAGGAGACTTGAGTTATTAGCACAGATACGCAGGGAGTAGACTACACCAATATATAAGCAAACACAGTTGAAATACATGAATAATTTTTTCGAGGGAGCTGAGGGGTTTTGGGAGTTTAGGGAAAGGTAGGCTGCAGATTATTAATGTACAGCATTTGGAAAGAAGTGAGAGGGATGAATGATAATTTCAGGGAGAGCATCAGAAGAAACCAAAAAGGGGAAGAGGCAGAGATAGAAAAGAGGGAGGATGCAAAAAAAGTGAAGGAAGAAGAGTAATGTTTAATTTGTATATATGTATTTCATGTATGTATATAATTATTCAAGTCAGAACTGTTTCCTAGACACCAGATATTTCAGGCAAATACATGTTTTTCTTGGCTTAATGGCCCAGTTTTAAGCTTCCTTTTAGAAGTGTAGGTATATCAAACCAATATCTGTAATCCCAAACAGATGAACCGAAGGATGACTGACTGAGAATGTGACACATTTCAGAGAAAGCCCCTCACATGCCTCCTTCAAGTAGTCTTTCAAACCTCTTTTTTTTGGGGGGGGGGGTGTACCTGGGAATGAACTCAGGGGCACTCGACCACTGAGCCACATTCCCCAGCCCTATTTTGTGTTTTATTTAGAGACTGGGTCTCACTGAATTGGTTAGCACCTTGTTGCTGAGGCTGGCTTTGAACTCAAGATCCTCCTGCCTCAGTCTCCAGAGCCCCTGGGATTACAGGTGTGTACCACCATGTTGGGCTGAAATTAGTCTTTCTAAAACATCATTCTGGTCATTCGATCATAGCTGAGATTTATCAAATAAAGCTCCTTTCTTGGCCTCAAGACTCTACAATTTAAAAAAAATTTAGTTGTAGATAGACACAATACCTTTATTTATTTTTACGTGGTGCTTAGGATCGAACCCAGTGCCTCACACAGTGCTCTACCACTGACACAACCCTAGCCCAAGGCTCTTTTTTTTTTTTTTTTTTTTTTTTTAAAGAGAGAGAGAATTTTTAATATTTATTTTAGTTTTTCGGCAAACACAACATCTTTGTTTTGTATGTGGTGCTGGGGATCGAACCCGGCCGCACGCATGCCAGGTGAGCGCGCTACCACTTGAGCCACATCCCCAGCCCTAGCCCAAGGCTCTTGACAATTTTATCACAACCATCATTAGCTGCAAATATCTTTTCAGTGTAAGCTGTATTAAGGCACTGATTCAAATATTGTAACTTTGTGTTGTAAAGAAAAGTTGGATGTGTAGGACTTAGAGAAGATAGATTTCTTGAGATTGTTCTGAGAAGGCATTCAAGGTCAGGGAGGACAGGGAAAAAGCCTTCATTGGAAGGCTGCAGAGATTTTGCACTGTCCAACACTGGTGGGGTGTCATTTATATAAAAACTAGCTTATGCAGCCTGTATAACCCATGTGCCAGTTGTGCTCTACCTGGGAACAAAGTAAGGACGCTTCCAGGTGAAAGGAACAGCAAAAGTGTGAAACTTATATAATGTGTTCAGGGAGTGAGAATTCAATGATAGAGAGAAAGGTGGCTAGAGAGCAGATGTGAGGGAGAATAATTTTATTTTGCTGGCATTGGCTGCAACAGTGAGTCATTGGCTGGTTTGTAGGGTTTGTGGTGTGTGGGTTATGCATATAAAGTAATGAATGTAGCTAGATGCAATGGCTATGCCTGTAATCCCAGTAACTCTGGAGGCTGAGGCCGGAGGATTGGAGTTCAGAGCAGCCTCAGCAACTTAGTGAGGCCCTAAGTAACTCAGTGAGAACTTGTCTCAAAATAAAAAATAAAAAGGACTGAGGATTTCATTTGGTTCAGTGGTAAACATCCCTAAGTTCAGCTTCTGGTACCTAAATCAATAAATCAATCAATAGAATGAATGTGGTATGTACCATGAATTGGAGGGAGGTGGTGATTGTACCTGGTAAGTTGAATGTGGAGATTTTTTGCAGAGGGAGGGAATGAGAACCTGATTGCTTTGTGGTGGTAAGAATGGAGAATACATGACAACTCTGGAACATTCTAGGAAGAATTAGAATTACTCCAGGATATTGGAAAGATACACGAATCGGGGGCTGATTCAGTGGATTTCCAGGGGCTGTATGTATTCCCTGGGACTTGAGGTTCCATTTGTCCACCCTGGCCTGCTTGCTGGTTCTCAGTGTCTCTTTACTCTGCAATCTTTGGCCTCTTGAAATTGAATAATTCATCAAGCCCAACTCAGGTTGTTTCTCTTGAAGCCTTTACTGTGTATCCTCCTGAACTTCTTGAGAAATTCCTGTTTGCACTGCTTAATTAGCATCTATAATATATACTTCCTAGCATGGTAGTTATTTTCTCATATTAATGTGTTCTAGCTGCTAAGCTTAGATTAGACAGCCCAGGAAGGCAAGTGAATTTGCTTATGCTATTTCTTATCATGGCATTTTTTTTTAGAAAAAAATTACTTTTCAGGTACAATAAATATCTATTGTTTATATTTCAAAATAGAACCTTTCAGAAAAATTTTTTTTTTCTTTTGGTACTGGGTACTGAATCCAGGAGCAATTTACCACTGAGCTGTATCCCCAGCCCTTTCTTTACTTTTCTGTTTTGAGATAAGTTCTTGCTAAATTGCTTAGGGCCTCACCAAGTTGCTGAGGCTGGTTTTGAACTTGGAATCCTCTTACCTCAGCCTCCTGAGTCTTGGGATTACACGTGTGCCACCATGCCTGTCCTTATTACCATTTTTATTACTCTGTCAACCCTTATATTAATTATACGTGGTTCTGGAGATTGTGCCCAGGGCCTCACACGTGAAGCAAACACTCTACCACTGAACTGCATCCCCAGCCCCAGAAATATATTTTCTGTTGTATGGTTTGGAGAGCTGTTTGGGGTAAGGCAGTGGACTTCAGGTGCCAGAACTCTTGGCAGATGGGATCCTGTACTAGAGTAAGAAAAAATTTATCAAGAAACAGTATTTATCAAGTACTTATTGTACAAAAAAGATAAGAAACATGGTTTCTTTAGGAAAAAAATTTTTTTGATTCCATGATAGGAATCAAACTCAGGGTCTTACCCATGCTAGGCAAGCCTTCTACCATGAAGCTATATCCTCAGCCCTTTTTAAAAAGATTTCATCTTACTAAGTTGTCCAGCCTACCTTGGAACTTGCGATCCTCTGGTCTGAGCCTCCTTGGTAACTGCGGTTACAGGTGTGTGCCAGTGTACTCCACATCAGGAACATCCTGATTTTCTTGTGCAGCTTCCTGGGTCCAATCTCTCCCCTCTCCAATTCATGGTACACACTGCTTTTATGGCTGTCCTGTAATTGCTGGGCATCTGTGTTGTTTCTTGTCCATACGAGTTGCTTTGGTGATTATATTGTATATGCATATAATTTTGCTTGCTTTTTTTTCCCCCCTCCTGCAGCACTGGGGATTGAACCCAGGGGTGTTCTACCATCGAGCTACACCCTCCACCCTTTTTGTTTCTCATT